TATTTATCTAATTTGTCACATAACTTTGGGATATAAATTGAACGGACTTGCAGGATTGATATTTTAGAGTCAAAAGGGTGTTTCCTTATTTCAAGATGATTTTGAAAAATAACATCTTGTAGCCGTAACGGTTTTATACTTTTGAGCCTACAGTTCAAGACATATGCAATAGCCCAACGTCGTTTTGCAAAATGGGTACACACAGCTCACGTGCCTAGTTTTACGGAGTACGTGGAGGTTGGTGTGGTGGAGGATGCGGCGTATGCGGCTATAGCATGTTACTTCATGTGTCTAGGAAATCTGGTTACGAAAGAAGCTTACGAGTGGCTAAAATCCAGACCAAAACTCGTCCAATCTATAACTACCAAATTGCGTCTTCTTAATGATATATACGGTTTCGAGGTAAAATATATATGGATACTTTTCTATTTCTTCACATCTCAGATATATCTACATGATTTGTTTTGATCTAACAAAGTTCACAAAAATTGATTAGGATGACATGGATAGGGGATGTGTTCAGAATGCGGTATACTGTTATATGAAGCAGTATGGAGTTACCAAAGAAGAAGCTGTAACGGAGCTTCATAAAATGGCTATAGATGCTGATAAGGAAATAAATGAGGAGTTCTTGACGACAAGAGGTGTGTCACGTTTGGTTCTCAATGTAGCAATGAACTTTTCGAAAATGATCACCCTCTGCTACAATGGATATGAAGGATTTACCAATCCCGAAAAAAAGATCAAGGAGTATATGACTTCGATTCTTGTCGATCTGATCCGTCTTTGAATACTTTGGAAAATGTTTTAGTATGTTCGATACGTGATTGTGCCTTTGTTCTTCTTGTTTTCTCCTACAGTCTCATGCATGTGTTTAGTTTCTACGTACTATCTACAACTAGCTAGATCGGATGTCTATGTTGTCATAATGTTGGTATGTTTCTTTTAATAATTTCACTAAAATCCTATGTTGAAATGTGTATGCAATTTCTACATAGTATGAGAGTCCAACAAACCTAAACGAAACAAATGGACTTAATTCGAGATTTATGAGCCAAAAGAATCAGCATCTCTTAAAAAAAACATGTTTAAGAATATCTTTACATTAGAAATGAGGATACTTTAACTATCTGTTATGTGTGTGTTTTAAACATTGCCAATTAATTTTGACTTGTAATTATTCACAGTTTCACCGTCCATTTTGAAAGGTCTAAATAATATTAGAGCAACTAAAATATATATACAAAGCCAAAAGACTTTGTGTGAGAAGATT